AAAGTTGCTCAGACCTATTTTATTACGATATCTTGTTGCAGCAATAAAAATCCCGATAGTCAACGTGACGAAGGGTCACGTGTTTCATTTCCTTCGAAAGAAATATTGATTTTGGGAAAAAATGGTCTAAATAAATTGGTTTATTTGAATCCTCTTTTGGATTATTAAAACGTTCAATATTCTGAACTGAAAGTATAAACTTTTTCACGGTTTGTCGATGTCTCGTGTATATGAAAAATTACCATTGTATCGTTAACATAGCTATCATTCGTCACACGTTTCGTACATTCCGCCTGAACAGCAAAACGAACGTTGTACGTATTGTTATTGTAAAATCGTAATACGGAACTGACAAGCCTAATATATTACTCTGACAAAGAGTGAGTGCTCAGAAAATTAGAAGTCAGGCTAATATTGCACACTTAACACGGAGACATAAATATTCAACATAACCGTAAAAAGCATTTATAAATCATTTCCCAGTATGGTGCTCGTCACTAGCCTTGAATAAATTTTGTTTCAAACAAAAAAATAACGAACAGCATTCGCGACAATGAATCAGTTAGAATATTTCCGGAAAGACTAACTTTATTTTACATCACAATCAGGTAGATCATTTCAGTGCAAGCTTTTATTTCCTATATGTTAAGGCCTAATTAAATAGGATTGTTATATGACGTAGGTACTAATGTTAACTTTTATTCTCAGTATGTAATTGTTCGAAAAACGAGCACGTTCCGGTTAATGTGTAATCACGTTAAACGAAACGAGCATCTCCGTGTCGTATTTAAAAAAAAAAAGACGAAAAGAATAGAATTCGTATACTCATTGTATGCAGTAGAAATAATCTTCTGAAATGTTTGACAAACTTAAGTTCCTGCTAATTATTCCATGTTTGCAACTCCAATGTCTAGAGTCTAGAATCTAGAAGGTTAAAGAAGATGTGTTACATTTCTAACTTATCTAACTGATAAAAAAATGAATAAAGTATTAGGGATATTGGCAGTAATTGGGACATTTACTCTATTAAATTAATAAAAACAAAATTCTTCCCCTAATGTTGTTAGAAGAAACTTCGACGAAGAAAACAGTCATTGTGATTTAGATACTGCGCACGCAAATTCTCTCGCCTTTTAATCTAAATCTCTGTGTCTCTGTTCATCAACAAAACAATCTTACCACGGCCAACGGAGCTAGCACACGCGTTAAATGGGTTCTAATGAATTACCCCCGTCCATTGCTAACTACGCACGTTATCCGTGACTTCCGTGAATACGATTATTTACACACGTTCTTTTCTTCGGCAGAGCTGCACATGGATAACATTGATTTGGTCGCCCACTGGCAGACTGAAAAAGTATTCCCCGGCGTCATCAATTCTACGATTGGCCATTTCGCGAGCGTCGCGATTTCTTGATAACGTTCCAACACGTGTGGTATGGCTCGATATTCTGCGGATGTCCAGTTCCCGAATAAAAGCGTTCCAGCTCCAGAAACGTCGACTTTTCTGGAGGAAAGCTTGAAAATTTATCTTACAATTCTCGTGGACGTTTTAACTCTCTATAACGCCGTGTTATAATTGTAATTGTAGTTTCGGTATCGCATAATAATTGCAGCAGAGATTGTAATTGTGGACTTAATTACCAATTGTGCAAATTTCAAGTGTGGTTCTGATCACAGTTGTGGTTAAAGTTTCATCATTTGAAAATTAATCTTTCAGTTTTTATAAACGTTTTTACCATCTAGGTGTAATAACACGCAATTATAACTTCGAAGCCACAGATCAGTTTTGCCATTATTAAAAAGACGACAATATTTTTTTCCACTTGTTGACCAATCAATTGAAAATTATAATATGCCTGCTGGTTTGCAAATGCACTACTGCACAGTGTGATTCTGATTCACAGTTAGAATGCAGTTACAATTTGTATGTGAATCAAGATTACGGTTGAGGCTTCAAAATAGATCACGAGTATGATTGCACTTATAAACTCTGTTTTGCTATCGATGCTTCTTGCACCAATAATAATTATAACTGCAGCCTTTATATTGGCAATGATTGCAATGACAGTTTAATGTCGATATCAATTGCAATTACAATGTGAACGTGAACAACAATTGTAGTTGTAATATCGATAATAATTGCAGTTGCAGTTTTAATGTCGATAATAATTGCACTTGTAGTTTTAATGTCAATAATAATTGCATTCGCGCGGTTGCAGTAGCGATTGTAATTGGGGCCTTAATTACAAATAACCTATGTAAATTTTAAATCTGATACTGATCACAATTACGATTAAGATTGCGGTTTTAATTCGATGACCGTTTTACAATTCGATAACACTTCAAACTTCAAATTTGATTTCACAGTCACCAATTTCGTACGTTAAATGGCAAAAATTTATCCTACAGTAACAATAAAATTTTCAATAAAAACACTCTAGTGTAACATTCATCTATTAAATTGATAACAACACAGCAATCGAACAATTGCACGCAATATTGCCATTATTATTGAATTTAAATTTCTCGCCAGACAGATAGTAATAGATCTTCGATTTTCCACGTCATGTCAGTGAGAATGTGTTTATAAAGTCCGGCAGGTAAAGGATAAATGAAAGGGAAATCGCGGTTAACTCTCGAGAAAAGTGACCATTTTTGTCCGTGCAAATCGACTGTATATCTTTCGAGGACATTGAAATATTTGCGTGGGTGCATAAAATTTTCGAGTATAATTGCAATACACTTGACTTTGACTCGGTTAAGTACTTATTTGTCCTCTTACATCTTTCGATGATGCAACGCTTCCGAGTGCACATTATTGGCAGATTATAGCCCGAACTAAGTTTATCGATCATTACGGCACCGAAAACGGTAATTAATCGGAACAACAGTTTTCACCATTAAATGTCACGGTTCCCTATGATTTTGCACGTATTCACTACTATGTTACCATGAATTAGGCGAGAAGCTAACTGCCCTCTTCCTCGTTTCTTCTATTATGCAACGTTTCCTAATGGTCCTCCATATGGCACCATCATCGACGAGACTTATACAATTTGTCCCAAAAGACAAATCTCAACTTGTCAGAACGAAATTTTTTTCCGGATAGCAGTGCCTCTGAGGCTGCTCTTTTTATTTCGTAATGAAAAATAATATTACATAAAAGTCAAAGTTTAATAGTACTATTATACTAAATGAATAAACCGAATTAGAAGAAGTAAAATATTATAGAATTATTCATTTCAGCTATTCTGTACCGAGACCCCCTGAAGCTATTCTCAATTATATTCTGATGATTAATCACTCGACGGATACAAGATGAAAAAGATAATTGATCAAAAGACGAATCTCAAATTGTCAGAACGAAATTTTCTTCCCGATAGCAAAGCCTCTGAGGCTGCTTTTTTTATTTCGTAATGAAAAATAATATTATATAAAATCAAAATTTAGTAGTACTATTATACTAAATGAATAAACCGAATTAGAAGAAGTAAAATATTATAGAATTATTCATTTCAGCTATTCTGTACCGAGACCCCCTGAGGCTATTCTCAATTATATTCTGATCACGATTAATCTCTCGACGGATACAAGATGAAAAAGATAATTGTCGTATGAAACAAAAGAGATTGATCGAATTTCTTCAGTAACTTACGATTAATTCAGAGATCGATAAAGGAAGAACAGCTACGGTTGACGGTTCATTACTTCATGATCGAGCCGAAGGAAAATGTGCGATACATTAACGCAACATATGCAATTAGAATAACTAATAAACTGTCAATGTGAGTTACGATCCAAACACGTGTCATTTTGTTAGCATTCAGCATGACTGGCCACTGCTAAAAAAGAATTTGTCGCACATCATTCCGTGGATAAATTCTGAATACTTATCTGATCCTTGCGATTTGATAATCGATTGAATTAAACCGAGGAAAGTTTATCAATATAGTACCGTTAGTAAATTATCAGATAATTGTCATTTTCACTGGACCATGAGTATCTACATTTTTGTTCATCTGACATGCCTTTTCCTGGAACACGATTTATCCTTAATATTTATATTAAGGATTTTGTAATAAGATATGACTGTAAAATTGTGTAATTGTATAAGATGTCTTATCGTTAATACCATCGGCCTAATGCACCACCTTTTGCTTACAGTTTCTTAAAATTTCGGGTAAATTTAAACCGATTCACAAGGAAATAAATCTCTTGCTTATTGTTATAGCAATCTCTTAGAATAAAAATTAAACTGATACATGTGCATCCTGTCGAAAGCAACATTTTCTATTCAGCGTGCCACTTTTAAAGTATGAAATCCGCAGTCTCACATATATATAAAAAAAAGTAACACCTCGAAGTAACATAAAATTTCTCGTTTACAAATCTTCAATGAATTCATCTAATAACGTATTTATCATCACGTTCCAGTGAAAATACAGATCACGGTAAGTTTAATGAAATAATAAATATTTTAATTTTTCCCACCAAAGATTTCATTTAACACTACACATAGAATTACCAAAGCAGTCAAAATGATCGGTTTGTGTCCTCTTATAATGATGATTAAAATGTTGCAACTTTCTCAGGTTTTCTACAACTTCTATTGCAATATGTAAGAATAGGTTAATTTCTCTAAATTTACCATTTTACTAAACTGATCTAACACAGAATTTAAATAATTCTTTTTAGCGACTGACATCCACATATTGCGTCGTACATGTCAATTGATGGTTTCGTGCGAAAGTGCGCCGCAGTAAAAGGGTTTTAGCAGCGCGTATACACGTGTTAACGCAGCCTGTGCGTGCACGATGCAAATTGAGTTTAATGCAGTATAAATCACCGGAATGTTCGAACGGTCCACATTAAAATCCGCTCTCGGCCCACTTCGAAAGAAAGAGCGAAAGAAAGAAAAAAAAAAAAAAACAGCACAAAACAAAAATTTCTCGCATCGTCCTCTCTCGATGAAAATAACGGACTTCCGGTCCACTTACCTGGTCCGTCCGCGATGTATAATCCTCCGAAAGTGAAACGTGAAACCGGCAGCCGGTTTTCGAGCTTCTAGACGCCGGACCAGCAGACGCAACGATGTTCCCGAACGAAAACGTTGAACGGCCTTGCCGATCGCCACTGGAGAATTCGATCCACTCGCGGGGTCACCACGATGCTTCACATCCGTGCCGCGAGTCGCCGAACCCAACAGGGGGGGAACAGATGATCAGAAAATATACACACGAACGGTTAACCACTCACGATCCTCTTCTGTGTCCTTTTTTTTTTGTTTTTATCCCCAATCCTATCGTCTCGATGTCTCTTCCACGAGCAACTTTCTCGTACACACCGGCACGCACGTTCGTCTCTGCTGTCCAACGCGCGCTGCTTGGATCTAACAACGACGTGATCAATAGACAGAGCTCGCGTGTCTCTTCGGCGCGATGCGTCGTGGCGGATCGAGACCGGTGAACCGATACGCGTCGATCCCTTCACGAGAGCATAATTCACCGTGCTTGTGACAGGCGTTTCGACGGTTCTCCGTTGACGTTTCCTCGGACACTCACACGACGTGGTTTGTTCGTTACTGGACTGTCGATTGTATTCTTAACGATCGATCGGAACCGTAAATAGCCGGGCGCGGATGTATGTCATGTACAGTATTGACAGGAACGGGCCGAGACGCATTTCCGTCGTCGCGAAAGCCAAATGTAGGTGTACACACGACCGTCTCCAGGCGATCCGTTCGTCGCACCGTCGAACACACGACTGACGCGGTGCTCGGTGCTCACTTTGGGAAATCAAGATCAAGTATAAACTTAAACGGGAGGGGGAAGGGGTCTATGAATCGGGGAAGCGGTGTCCCGATGAAAGGAGCAGATTACAGGTGTGAGGATCGATGGAGGGGAACGGACGGTCTTTCTCTGTGTTTGTTTCGTTAAATTTGTATGTACTGGATACGACGGGTTCGGATGGGAATCCGTTGAACCGGCGATATTGGTGGGATACGTGGGTACCCAGGTAACCATTCCTAAATTTCATTTCACAATTTTTTATGGTCTTGTCTGAAACAGAATTTGGTATATTATAGGAAGGGAAAAGTAAGAGTTTCGGAAAAGTATGGAAGTAAAATTCTCTATGTTTGTCTAATCTGTCGGAATAGGAGTACTCCGATTGCTCAATATAACCGTGAATATTTTGGTTGCCTACGCAAGGGGTAACGTAGACATCGTCTCAGTTTGTGACATAATGTTATTTAAAATCTATTTCGTGAAAAAAATGGTTGTATAATATTAAATAGGAAGAATTAATTAATAGTTAATTGAAATCTACGAACAATCACAGTTTCCCTATAACTGTTTTATTATAAGACAGCTGGCAGAATGTTTAACAATATCCCTCAAAGAGGTCATTGTTATAACAATTATGTCGTTAGAAATAATAAGTTAATCGAAAAACAATTTTTGACGCGCTCGATCTAGAGATCCCGCGTAACTTTTGCGCACCTGTTCGCGCAACTCACGAATTCCTGCGCACGGTAGTCAATAAATAGAGGTGCTCCAGCGAAAATCCTCAGTTTTCGTCGGTTTCTCCGTCTGCGCGGTCATCCATCGAGGACTCCCTCTTTTTACTCCGATTGCTGACCATCACTGACCAATCTTGGATCATTGGTGACCAGTTTAAGAGATCCTCTCTCTTATCCAAACGTGACCAATAGAGTAGTACCTCCTCTTTATTTATTTCAATTAATTGTTTTATTTTGATTTATTTTCAGTTAGACTAAAGAAAGAAAACATCCGCTGAGGGATTTCGGTATCGATAGTATAAGTTATAATTATAAAATTATTGTGAAAGCTGGATAGATGGAACTTGTGTTTCCATCTAACTCCCTTGAGACCCGGTAAAATTTATTCCTATGTCCATGATCTGCGTACAAACTCGTAACATATATCATCGACAAACTTGTTTCCGGATGCACCATATTCGTTATTATAACAGCTCATTAGCAGAGCCAAGAATAGGAATGTAATCGAGAACCTAGGAATTAATAACAGATTTTCACGCTTCTATCATAGTTGTATAAAACGTTGTATTTTATTTGGACAAAATATTTTATTTTCCTTAGATTTATACTGCTTAAAAAAATATTTTACCAATATTTAGAAACATCACGGTTCATGTTCCTCCAGGAACTGTTTCAGTAGCACGTTACTCAACGGAATTACGAGATGTTCGACGCTGTCAATGTTACGTTTCACCTTCACTAGCTTGTGATCGATAAATTCCGTCAGTTGCGCTCTTAACGCTAAATCTGAACTCACGAGGAAACCTTCCCGCCCAGCACGATAGAGATCTTTAAATGCCATCCCTAATAATGAGAATAAATATTAATATTAATATAGATAACGTCTATTAATATTGAAATTACAAAATATAAAATTACCGGTAAAATTGACATTACTACTGTTACTCAGTTGATACTTAGCAAGTAGTATGTAAATCGATTTAGCATTTGAAGTTAAGGAAAGAAACACGTTATGAAGAGACGATAAAGCTAAAGTACCACTCTGTTGCACTAAAAGTGAACTTTCGTAAGATGTTTCTTCTTGGTAGGACAAAAATGTGGTTGTGTCCCACCAAAAGAAATCGAATTTTGAATGCTTTTTGTGATCCCATACTGCAAACGTAAAAAGTTGTAATAATTATTAAAAACTAATGGGAGTAGAAAATTAACATCGAATACAATTAAACGTACGTAACGTTGCGTTGATATGATCAACCGATGCCAGGACACAAACATTTGGTATACTTGCAAGGCAAGACAGCAAGTCTTGAGCTTTATTTGAACGTAACATTATACCATCAATGTTATGTATTAACAAGTAAAGTCTGCATTTTCGATTTTTCTTCAAAGTCCTCTCAATAAGGTCTATGCATGCGCTTGTATCGGTAGGGGAACTTAATTCTAATAAGTCAACAATTATACCATCCAATACCTAAAACATATAATAACTAAAATTGTTGTATCATTCATTGTTCTTTACATTTCAATGCTATTTGAATAGCTTACATCCTTTACAGTCAGACTAGGAAAGAATCCATTCACTACCAATGAAGGATGATAAGATATACTTTTATAAAAATTATTAATTAAACATCTTTTTGATCCTAGACCATACAGTAACACAGTGTAACCTTGCCTAAAATAAAGCAGGATATTAAATCATTCGTTAAAGATCTATTGTAAATACTTTATCCATTCTTAATACATACTCCATTATAAAATACCACATGGGAAACAATGTAGCATAGCTTTCAGTTAATGAACAAATATTTTTTTTATGTCGTCTAGATATATAACTCTGGTTTGCTAATAATTCTTCCAACTGTTCCTTTGTTAAACGAGAATTACGCAAATGTTCTAATGTTTTATCAGATGTAATCACTTTTTCTGACTGAGTTTGAAAATACTCATCTGTTCTCATATGCTTTAAAGAAATAAACAGTGAAATATTATTGTATATTAATTATTTAGATCAAATTTTTGTGTATACAATATCACCGACTTACAAAATCTTTGTAAATAACTGTTGGTTTATTCCTAGTACTCATTTTCTTTGGTGTACTTAATAAACTTGACTGGAATATAATTTTGTGCTTTAGAGTTTTTAGTTTAATATTATCCTCTTCATCATTATTAGACTCATCACTATTGTTTTCACTTGATTCATCTGAAGATTCCTCTTCAGATGGCACGTAATCGCTTGGTTCAGATATACTTTCACTTTCACTTGCACTTATTCTACCCTCAAATCTTCTACGAACTTGTGAAACTGATTGTGCAAAATAAAAATTAAGAATAATCTACTATAGTTGTTAAAAGAACAATACATTTTTGCTTAAACAATTAACGAAATTATTACCTCTTGCATTATTATTATCCCCTTTTGATAATTCTTTATTTTGTACATCCATCCTTTCAAGAACAATTTTTGGTAATAGACCTGTTTGCTTCCTTGAACTAAGGGGTGTACGGCATAAGTTTGCCTTTTGTGTCATAGCATTTTTCTTACTAGGGGTTTGAAATTTATATAATGTCTGACCACTGACATCATCATTATTGAATAATTCTAAATAAACATTGTACATATTAATTCTTTTTTATTCAAAATGATGTAACATATATTGTAAAATGCAATAATAAATGATGCATTGATAAAAAAATTACCAACTGGTTTTTGTACTGTCTCCTCAATATCACTCAAGTCCTTTGTCATAACAACTGATGATACTGAAGACGAAGTTTCATCTTCATCCGACAAATACCTCGTAATTCCTCGTTCTACAATGGAGAACAATCATTTCAATGAAGTTTACAATATCAAGCCAAATTATCAATACAGATTAATCATATTATAAATTATTTTCGTGTTTCAAGTTTTATTACCTTTAACACGAGATTGTAATCTACAAGACCGTCGTAAATTTTGAGAATTGGACATTTCGATTAAAAGTAAAAACCACAGACGAGGTATAAGAATAGACCGCGAACATCCAATGCATTTTCGTGTCCAGATTTAAATTGAAAAAGTACATGATCACGCCATCTAATAGAATACACATGAGTAGAGAATACATGTGGCGTAATCTAGCGATAGGAAGATGTGAATCGATTGTGGTGAGTGCTGTTGATAAGGATGATAAGGATGCAAAATACAGAGTTGTGTTGATTTTGTGCTACGTGGGAACAACCGGACCTGGATACGTGAAGACAAATTGTCAAAATAATGACAATGAATTATTTGGATTTGAATATCGATAAATTGTTCGAAGATTTCACGATCAAAGAAATCGAGGGGATCCAGAAAAGAATTCAGCATGAGAGTGACAGAAAGAAAATTGAGCTTAGGACCCTTGTTGGGTAATGTTCAGAGTTACTTAAAGTTGTTTGTTATTTCTGTCTTTTATTTCTTTCCTTCATTAACATTGTTGTACTTACAAGATGTACAACAATGTTAATGAAGGAAAGAAATAAAAGACAGAATACTCTTGGAAATGATTGTTACAAATATGAATTTTCTTTGTACCATAGTTTCCTTTAAAACGTTTCTATTGTGCTTCTGAAGTATGTTCAATAACTATTTAAAAATTTAAACATTTTCAGAGAAAGGTATCGTGATTTAATACTAGCTGCTGACACAATTGGAAACATGAAAATAACTTCTGAGCGTGTTATTTCAAGAATTGTTAACATTGAGGATACATTCAGAGAACTGCAGAAGAAGTATCTTATTGGTTTCAAAATAGAACCAATTGAGAATGAGAATGATAGGTATATATCTTTTGTTCTGCTGAATCAAGTATTTTATTCTTTTACCCAAAGTCTTCTTAAGGATATGTTGACTTTTTAGAAATGTGGAAGGAATCCAAGATTCAATTATTATTCAAATAAAAATATTAATGGATATACCTCAATATATTTGGTCCAACATTGAGAATAAAAATCTATTATTTGCCACACAATTGTATTTAGTGGCACAGCATATAAATTACAGTTTATTATTTGAAGTAGGAAGCACAGATTTGTTGAACAAGTATCCAATTGTCTCTAAACAGTGGGATGTTATTAATCAGTTCAAAACTATTATAACTACTGAATGCAATTACATATTACAGTCATTGGATGTACAACCAGAGGTCAGTATTTATTTGAGTATAAATTGTATATAACAATATTAAAAATGTTTCTGTTTTAGAGCATAGCGAATTGCTTAGCTGCACTTGTATTGTTGAATAGGACATCTTTCTCTGACTTGTTAGAGATGCTGTTATCTATGCGTAATCGTGCTATTAAGTCCATTATTACAGATGAAAATGATAGTAGTGTTAAGAATAAAATCAAGTTGTGTATAGACACATTAATCCAAACAATCAATTTAATTTACTCTTGTTTTATAAGTAAGTAAATATAGATTCATTCATTATATCTATACAATATATTATATTAAATATGTATATTATTGATTCTAGATACAGAGAAGAAATCAGGAGGTCTTGTCCTGCAGTACATAGCAAAAATTCAAGATCAAGAAGCTTATTCGTTATTCTGTGAATTGGACGTGAATCAAGAATTGTTGAAAGAGTTTCTTCCTTCCGTTACAAAACATCACAAACTATTTATTCAGGATACTCCAGAAAGCTTTCTTTTACCAGATCTTCAAAAGAGTATTAAATCCTGGCTGCAATGGGTTGCTGAGTTTTGCAATCACGAAGTGACAAAGCTATTGGATCTGATAATATCCATAAAAGGTTTATATTATGTCCGTGAAGAAACTGTTAGTATTAATCTGCCTGAGAATTGGAATTTCATTTGGGAAGAACTTCATCTCCCTAGGATAACTTTCTGGGTGGAATTTTTTCAACCTATCATATCTCAAAGAGTGAAAAGTACGTTGAATGTAATGTACATGTTTCCCATTACTAACTATATGAATCGCATTTTTATTAATTTTTAGATATCATAAGTGATAAATGGATAGAAACTGTAACCACATTAAAATCAGATATAACAGAATTACTCACTAAAATAAGTAACGAGAAATTCGAGTATCCAGAACACGATTTGCGATGGTTCGTTTGGAAAGATTCTCCTAGTGATATTCCTCAGAAGCTTACCAAAAACGGGGGACTCGACAACAAGAGATCCCTATTGATGAAAACGAAGGGATACTCACCCAATATTCTCACTTTATGCGACAGTTTTGATACAGGTTTACAGGCTCTTCTTTCGGATCTTGAACAATATTTGTATGAGACGGAACGCGTGATGTCCATTAAAGACAACCTATTATCCACAAATATATCATTAATTTCCGATACGTTCTCTGATCGTAAAGAAGTTCAGGAACATTTGCAAAAAATCAGTTCTACCATGATACAGGATATCATTAATTTCGTAAAAACTATGTGCGTAAATGAGCGAGCTGAATACGGTCAGCAGGACATAAATGCAGTCGTAATGGCACGGTTTCTCTTAGCGCTGACAACTCTCAGCTCAAATTTAAACAAATGTTTCACACTTTCAAAGGTGTCTGGATTAACTATCACTAATGTCAAATGGCAGTCGATCTGTGACAAACTGAAAGAAGAGAGTACATTCGTATGGTCCATTTGGGCCAGTACATATAAAACGAAAATAAATGAACACAGAGATAAATACATATCCAAAGAACCACTAGATGGTTATCGAATACATGTAGTGGTTTCCGAATGGGAGAAGGTAACTATCGATGAAGACTCTGGAGAAGGTAAAAGGATAAAGTCAGAAATCTTAGTGCCATATCAGCCATCCATACAATTGCAGAAGTTCTTAACTGCAATTAATAAAGATTTGAATAAAATTATACCGCATACTGTTCCAAAGTAAGTGCAACTGAGATTTAATCTTTGTTGTATTCTATATAGAATCTTCTGTATTTATTTTTATATTATAGGAAGGTGCTCCATGAAATCATAGAAAACATCGCTGTAGAGCTATTAAGCTACTACGTTTTTATATCGAGTTCAGTAAATCTTTCTCAAAAACAAGCCTTTCAAGTTTTATTCGATATTAGATACTCTACTTTGTTAATGGTGCCACGAGAAAATAAGAATTTGTCTGACTTATCGACGCGGGCGTGCGATAATGTACTGTCCAAAATCGATCCTTTCGACTATGATGTCTTCAATCCATTTATTCAGACTAATGTGAAGAAAAGCATTCAGAGATCTTTGGTAAGAATTCTTTATTATACAATATTTCTAGTCTAATGTAGATATGTAAAGCTCCCACGGCCAGTTGTTATAAATACATATATTATCTTGAGACTTTCGTATGTAATTGAGACATTTAATCCCTGATGATGCTATCTGCAATGCTCATAAAACTTTGGGAAAATTTTTTTTACAGGTGACACTCGGAAACCTCAATAATAATAATTGTATGTCTACTCTAATTCATTTGTTTTCGTTCTACAGCTTTTACTTGGAAATTTGGTGCCTCATTTAGAACAACTTCATTCAATTCTGGGTGCACGAAGCGAATATAGTACTACCGAAGGTGTAAAATCAGATATACCCTCGGTACTGGCACTTTGTGCCGGTGCACCATGGTTCCCGCCTTTGACTGTTACAGCTCCAGCCAGAAGTTTACCGCTAGTGTCAGTAACGTTACCAGAGAAACCACAGGTAAATAGAAAAATACAAAAATTTCAAATACCTAGTATGCATTTTTTATACTCTATTTGATTATTACCGTTGACAATTATTTCTCCTATGAACCTCCGCAAGATTGTTTCATATAAATACGTATGTACTCTTAGATTGCCAGAGCATTCAGATAATATAGGTCGTGCATTTAATTGCGGTAAGAAAACGACACTGCATGACAAGCTTTCTGATTGAGTGGACTAATTTTTAACGTTTGAATTTTTGCATTTTTTATACATCACATGTATAACTTTTTTTATTTGATATAATACTTGTCTGTTTTGGTGCAATACACTTTGATTGAGTGCTTGGAAAATGTTTGAACGAATTGTTCAACAATCTTTTTTGTGTGTTGTAGCGAAAAAAAGTTACGGGTAAGGAAAACACAAAAAGCGACTCCGCAGGTGCAACTATAAAATCCGGAGCAGCGGCGTTTTTTGGAGCAATGGGCTCCGACTGGTTTAGTAGTAGCTAATTTATTTATTTTATTTATTCCCTATAAGCTGTAAATATAATTAAATGTATATACAGGGTGGGGCAATAACTATATCCACTTTGAATACTGCCGTTATTTGTAATAATATAAAAAAATGTTATATACAAAATTTACACGGTATAAAGGGTGGCATATTCTATTTTCAAAGTCATCTCTATTTTTTTAAATGGAATGCTATGTGTTTTTATCGCGATTCTTGGCTATCTCATTCTCAGAAGGACCCAATACACCAGAAAATATGAAACAACGGATAATTGCAGAATGTGCTAGAATAAGTTAAGAAACGATAAGACATGCACGTGATGCAGCGATACGAAAATTGCAATTTTGAATTAACGCAAACGGTCACCGCTTCGAGCATCTCCTGTAATGGAAGGAAATGTATTTTACTACCACATTTGACCTTGCATGACCTTCAATGGTAGCTCGCTGAAGTCGTTTCAACACAGGCTATTACATCGCGATAAAAAAAACATAGAATTCCTTTTAAAAAAATAGAAATGACCTTGAAATCTACTCTATGCCTTCACCCACGCAGAAAATGTTTTGTGTCACAATATGCCCCTCTCTATACCGTGTAAGTTTTGTATATAACATTTTTTCATATTAGTACAAATAACGGGAATATTCAAAGTGGACATAATTATTGCCCCATCCTGTATATACTAGTTATACATATACATAGTGTGTAAATATCACATCACAGAAAATTGTCTTTTCAACTATACTGTCAGTATTGAATAAAACAATTTTATACAGTCTTTAAATCTACTGTATTTAATCAATCTATAAATATTGTTTCTAAAGCAATATTCTTACAAAGTTTAAACGCTTGTAGGCGCAAACATCTAGTCTATTCAATGGCGCCACCGGTGCTGCATCTTTATACTAATTTTCGAACATCGCTGGCCGAGACGCGTGATCAATGCAAAACTTTCACAAGGGACTAACAAAGTAAATTCGTATGTAAATATTCAATCAACTACTTAATCAAAGACCCGTTAAATTCTGTTGTTTATGACCGAACTATAAACCGTGTTGGTAGAGATTCGGAAACGATTCCAAGCGGGCCACATGAATATAGGATATTTAAACAAACGATACCGTTAAGAAGCAAATAACTCACGCAAGTTTCATGCGTGCGTTTAGTTATCTTAATCACTCTGCGTTGCACAGAGTCAATTTTATTTGTCAGAACGGATGTGAGCGATGACTTTTAAAACATCCCGAACGTTCGTAGCGCCGTCGGCGATGCAGTTCGACTAGTGCTTGAGAAAGAGAGAGACGGTCATAGTGGGGCGCTGTGAAAAGGACAAGGAAGGAGACACAGAAAGTGTCTCAGTGGCCAGTTACGCAATTCCGGAACACGAGGGGGCCAGAGAGAGCGAGGAGCGAGCGGCAAAATACGCCAGCGCAGTGTAGTACACGTTTTGGTATACGGCAAGATGGCCGGATGGGCCCAGCTGTGGTGATATCGGTCGTGAGACGTTCGCGTTCGCATCTGGGGAAAAAACAACAATACGATACCCTGCCGCTTCAGGAGTACCGCTGGGACAAGCAGAATATCTATCTGCATGAAATGGTGAGTGAGAAATCCATTAATTCTATCTTTACGTTCGGCGAAAAGCACGCGACCCGGTGCTCGCTAAATTTCGCGCGCTGATTTTGAAACTCTAGCAGACTACCCTAGGGTTTGCGGTATTCCCGCGTTTCGTATGGTGTACGGTGGTTTCGCGGGCTTTAAAATCAGACGTCTTGAGATGCATTTTATACCGTGATATTTTTGTTCCCATATTATAGGAAATTTTGATTTTAAAATAGCGGCTGCGTGACAACGATTGGAAGCTCGTGGTATCGTGTTTCGGTGTATGAATATTGTCGTTCTTATGGGGAAGCCATAACTTTAAGCATGGAGGCGGTGTATATGGAAGTTTTGAATACTTCCTGCGATCGATATTCATGGTTTTCTTTTTGTATAAGAGGATCGGGTTCACCGGTTAAGCTGCATGTAAATTTCAGGAGTAGATCCACGTACAAGCTTATATTATGGCTGTTAATCCTAGTTAGTCCTAACAAACCAAACGAATAATCCGTTATTAAATAATTACTGGTAAATTTCGAGATCCAGAAACGTGCGCGTGGTCTCTTATAGAAATCGAATAGGTCCACGTTGACTGTTATAAGAATGAAAATTTCTCGGCGGATTATAACCCACGTGTACCCGTAATATATTCTATCCGTCGAGTGGGACAGAACGAAGAAACCTTATAGATTAATTTGCGTGTAGTAAACGACGAGAATATTAGTTCGAGCGCAAGTGTAACGAAACGTTTTTATTTTTCCCGTGTGCCCGTGGTGCATCGTAAAAACATAGGAGAATTTGCACCGTTCTTTTTATGAAAGTCGAAAAGAAACGTAAAACGATACCGACGATTAATCGCGAGAGGTCAATATACAAACTGACAAGAAAACGGGTGAAGTGACGGACGATGTTTTTTGTTGGTTCTTCACGGCGAAACCGTTTACTCACGGGTCAAAACAAACGACGGTCAGTTGGACGAAGGCCAAGTGCATGTTGGGCCGCATCGTGCGAGACTAACACAAAAAGAAGAAATCTCTTAGCACTTCCGATATTGAGCGGAAACGGTTGCGTTGCGGTAACGGTCGATCGTTCATCCGGCGAAGCTCTAACGTTTCATCTTACCTGTACCGGAAATCGGTCATTTCGTCGAGCAGATAGCTAATAGGTTTCGAATGACGAATTTATAAACGTACAGATTTTGATACTTATATTTGTTCTAGGGAAATGTTCCGGAGAGAGGCTCGTGAAAAGTTAACGAGCTTTCGTATCGTTAGGATTCATATGGTAAAGAGACAATGGTCCGCTAGAAGCGGTTAGAAGAGATTCATAATAGAAGGAGCATGCATATTCTCATTGATTATCGCTTTGTACCTAATTTTCCATCGTTAATATGGGAGTTCGTTACTCTTATATTGTGGACAAAGAAGCGTATACGTCTGTATTTTCCTGGGTCACGTTGAAAGCGGGAGAACACAAGATTGTACAGATGTGTTTCTACCAGCTACACATTATTATGATGCTTAAAACTACACTGAATCTCCATACTTTTCACTTTTGGTCCTAATGCCACGTATGAAAACGAGACATCTGGGATTGTGGGGGGATTGGGTTGACTCTTGGGAGCAACTTTCTACATTTTTTTTCTTTTTATGTACACAACTCTGTGTACCCTGCAACAGTAGTAGGATCAGCCTACTAAAAGGGTTTCCCTGCAATCAATACGATATCATTCTTATTTATTAGGTGGACAGATATCGAGGTTATTCGCAAGAATATCTGGATCATCATATCGATCGTATAATTCGGAGTAGTTAGGAAAGTGCATCGGACGGAAATTCTCTGGCTAAGTTCGGGAAAGCTTATTGCGACGATGCGCCGCCACAGCAAACGGCTTTGTTTTTTATCTAATCGGAGGGAAGATTGCCGTCGGGACCGTCGTAACATTCAACGTGGACGTAACAAGATGAATGGAAAAGTCTTAAAATTCGTTCGACCATTCCTCGAACGGGGCTGATAACCGTTCTCACCGTTTATCGATGACTAATCTCGTATCGTCTTTTATCAGCTGGCGATCGACGTGACTAAATGTGCCCGTCGATTCTGGATCACCGCGGCATTTACCTTCGGCAAGATAACAATGAATCCATATTCTTGCAGTATTAATTTTGCAGTAAAAATAAGGGTATCAGAATTGGGTAGGTTTTTATGGTTAATATTACATTCACTGCCGCGAATGTCGTTGAAATATTGAAGGTTTAAAACAAGGGACTTTAATGTTTCTCCTTCCAAGCGTCGCTATTCCTGTTCCTCGGATTAAACACGTATCGAACCGACGCGACTCGCGAATACGAACACGATCGAGTTTCGTTCTTCGATGTGACCCAGATCGGATCGGATTTGTGGTTATTCTGATACGGAGAAGAGTTGCAACGGGGTCCGTATCGTTCCTAAAAATGCCCCAAGAAACTGCGACACGCTCGTTTCGAATCAGCGTCAAACGAACCCGTCGTTAGCCGGAGTCGTTTCGTATCTATTCCACTTACGTCGTCGAGATTAGATTTACATGCGTCTCTTTCGTTTTCTCTCTTGTGTTTTTTTCTTTCTTTTTTATCTACAGATCGGTGTTTTTTTTTATCGTTGCTCCGTTCGTTTTCTTACTGTTGGAACAGATCGCACGTGACGACGATCGTAGATCTATCGATGATTTTCTGGGGACCAATAACCTCACGATTGACAGAGCTGGTGTTTTGGGAAGAAATGAAAAATTTAGGGAAATGAGGGAATTGGAATGTGGAGAGTCCAAACTACTACACTTCGAACCCAAATAGATATCTATTCTTCTTACAGAAAAAGCTTGGAATAATGAAAAGTCTTCCCCTTTTCTCGCTAAAAGCGTCTCGGTGTGAATAAATTGTATGCAATATTTTCGACGTTTAGGATGTTTCACGGCAATTTTATCTTCGGTGGCTCTGAAAATACGTCCGAAATATTGGTCCCAGAGGACCAGGCGGGATATAAGGTCGATCGCGTATAAATAGTCGAAAGGTCGATGCTTCGAAGACTGCGAAGGTGGTAAAACTGAACCGCGGAACCGGCGATAGAATACTTTTCGAAGTCGAATGCATTCACGAAGGAGCTGTGTAACACCGACCTACATTCACGGACTCCTGGAATAATCGATTGACAAAGCCGTTCGAATCGCGAATTTAAGGCGAGGCGAGCGGTGTTTCGTCTTTGTTGGAAAAGGAGTCCACTTGCCACGATATTGAACAGGAAAATATAAGTTTTTCTTTGAATTAGTTTCTGTAAAATAATAAATTCCTGGGTTCTAGATCCTGGTGGAGATGTTAATGCTTGGCCAGGACGTATCCTTTGGTATCAATAGAGGTAATTGTTTGAGTTGAAAGCATCGAAACTATTAGTTGTG